TTTGACCGGGGGCTATTTGAAAAGGAGTGTAACCTGTGCTGGAGTGGACTGCATTATTGTAGGCAACTTCTGCAAAGGGGAGTAAGTCCGCCCACTCGGTCTGCTGGAAACTAAGAAAACATCTTAAATATTGCTTAAGTACTGAGTTCATTTTTTCAGCCCCCCCCATTTCCTTGAGGGTGGTGGCTAGATGTCAGTCCCTGAGTGGTTCCTAAGAGGGATAAAAATTCCTTCCAAAATGCAGACGTAAATTGCACCCCCTGTCAGAGATGATGCGTTGGGGTGCCCCATGCAATCTGTAAATGTGTTGGATGAAAAGTTTTGCTAAGGCTTTTGCAGTGGGAATCTTTTGGCAAGGGATAAAGTGCACCTGTTTGGAAAACAAGTCTGTGACCGTCCAGACCACAGTATTCCCAGTGCTTTCTGGCAATTCCACTATAAAATCCATGGCTATTTCTCTCCAGGGGGCTGAGGGACTTGCCACTGTTTGCAATAGTCCTGGCACTTTCCCTTGCAACCTCTTTGCCGTGGCACATTTTGGACAACTGGATATATAACTTTCAATGTCCTTTTTCATGGATGGCCACCAAAATTGCCGTTTAATTAAATGTAAAGTTTTTACAAATCCAAAATGCCCTGCGGATTTTGTGTCATGGCAAAGGTGCATGAAAGTTACTCTTTGAGTTGTTGGTATATATAACTTTTCCCCTATCCAAGGCAACCCGTCTTTCATTGTGCACACCTTTTTGTTTTTCTGGAACCAATCATCTGTTTCCAAACTTTTTCTGAATTCAATTCCAGTTTGGCTGTCCAGTTGTGGTTTTAATTTGGCTTTGGTTCTTGTGGTTACTGGTGCTGCCAGTTGTGACTCTGCCATTATTGGTCTAGAGTCTGTGGTTCGTTCGCTGTTATATTGGGGCATGCGAGATAGAGCATCTGCCAGGAAGTTCTTTCTTCCTGGTAAATGTTTGAGCTTAAATTGGAATTGGTGAAAATGCTGGGACCAGCGGGCTTGTTTGGGATTGAGTTTCCTGGGAGTTTTCAGGGCTTCTAAATTTTTGTGATCAGTCCATACCTGGAAGGGGATTTTGTTGCCTTCAAGGAACTGTCGCCACGTGAGTAATGCCCAACGTATCCCATAAGCCTCCTTCTCCCATACGGGCCAGCGCTGTTCTGTTTCCGTGAGTTTCTTAGATGTATATGCACAGGGTTGCAATACTGCATCATCATTTTCTTGTAATAGCACAGCCCCCACTGCCACATCACTGGCATCTGCCTGTATATGAAGTGGGTCCATGTCTGGGTGCCTTAGTACTGGTTCGCAGAAAAAAAAGTCTCTTTAGGTCTCTCGAACGTGCTTGGCACTCCATTGTCATGTTAGTGGTGCTAGGTTTTACTGAGGATGTTCCTTCTTTTTTAGTAAGTTAGTGAGGGAGGCTATCTGGCAAATGTGGGATGAATTGGCGGTAAAAATTTGCAAAGCCCAGGAAACTTTGTAGTTGCTTTCTTGTGCGGGGTGGTGCCCAATCTAGTACTGCTTTGACCTTCTCCGGGTCCATTTCAATGCCCGGTGGGGATATGCGATAGCCTAGGTAGTCTATCCTTTCCTGGTGGAATTCGCATTTTGAGAGTTTGGCATATAGGTGAGCGGCTCGCAGCTTCTTTAAAAACGCTCTGACAAGTTTGACGTGTTCTTCTTTTGTTTCAGTAAAGATAAGAATGTCGTCCAAGTAAACAAGGACCCCCTTAAACAGGTGCTCCCTTAGAATGTCATTGATTAATTGCATAAAGACTGCAGGGCCACCTTGTAATCCAAATGGCAAGACTTTGAATTGATAGCACCCCATGGGGCAGTTAAATGCAGTCTTCCATTCATCCCCTTCCTTAATTCTCACACGATAGTAAGCTTCCCTTAGGTCTAGTTTAGAAAAAAAAATTCCCTTTCGATAAGTGTGACAGCATGTCTTTCCATGAGGGGCAGCGGGGATAGGTGCTTTCACTGATTGTATCAAGGGCCCTGAATCACGCATAAACGTAAAGAGCATCATTCTTCTCTCTAAAAAGGACCGGGGGCAGCCACTTTAGGCTGGCCTTTGGCGCTCAATGAACCCTCCTCTCAGGCTGTTTTTATATAAATTACTTTCCACTTCCTCTTCTCCTTTGGGCTCATGAGTATAATCTGGGCTTCGGGAGTTTTTGCCCCAGGCTTGAATTCAATGGTACAGCCTGTGGGTCGGTGGGGGGGGATAGGAAGCTCATTCGCCCTCTCCTCACTGAAGACTTCAGCAAGGTCCCTATTCCTACTGGTATTTCTGTTAATCTTTTTTCCGCTCTATGGATGCTTTTTCTATTCTGGATTCTGGTAGCCTCCCTTGGGGTTTTAAGTCCATAGGGTCCCCCTTCAGGAATTTGATTTCTGTCGTCCTCCAATTTACCAGGGGTTCCATTTTTTTTAACCATTCCATCCCTAGGATCATTGGGCATTCCATGCCTGGGGTCACCACAAACGTTATGTCCTCTTCATGTTTGCCCAGGGAGAGGTGTATTGGTAGAGTGGCTAGTGTAGCTGGCACCCCCCCTGCTATGGATCCATCTAACTGGCCAATGAGATTGGTTGTTCCAGTCTCCTCAATGGAATGCCCAGATTCCCCACTAGGGTCAGGCTAATGAGGCAGCGGTTGCAGCCAGAGTCTATTAAGGCTTTCACCTTCACAGCTTCGGGCAGGGGGGGGATTAATATAGTCACTGTTTTGAAGATGGGTGTGATGCGTCCACTTACCAGGGGTTCGCCTTCCGAGCTGTCATCTGAGGCATCCACCGTCCCTGTGGTGTAGGCTGGAGTTCTTTCCCCTTGGTGAGCAGAGGTGGGGTTTTCTGCAATTTCCATCATTTTCATGGCTGTTTCTTTTGGCTTAGCTGAATACCCTCTGGGTTTGTTGATTGGGGATCTGTCTGGGTTGTGCTGGGGGGCCTTTGAGCGGCATTCTACAGCTCGATGCCCTTCTCTTCCGCACTTGAAACACCCCATCTGCTTCTTGGCTGTATCCGATGATTTCACCGGTTGGTGTGTCAGCTCAGGCGGGGGGCGGCTCCATTGTTTTCCTCGGCGATGCCTCTTCAATATGTCGATCTCTGCTTCCTCTGCCAAGACGTACCATTCCTCAAGTCGATGTGGGTCTCCTCGGGGCAGGCAAGCATCATATAGATCATAGTTTAGTCCGTCTTTGAAACGGCCAAGGAGGAGGTCTTCTGGCCAATTCAGTTTGCTGGCAATGGCTCGGAATTCTTGTGTATACTCAGCCACTGGGCGTTTGCCCTGCCTCATCGTTGTTATTCTTTCACGGGCTTTGCGATCAGCCAGGGGGTCTTCAAATCGTCTTCTCAAAGAGGACATGAAACGTTTGAAGTTACTGAGTTCTGGGGCATTGGAGTCATGCAAGTTCACTACCCAATCCGCAGCTGGTCCATCCAGGGCAGATTGCACGATCCGGATGCGGGCTTTGTCGCTGGGGATGTCCTGCCCATATTCCTCCATGTAGCTGAGGACTTGGGTTAGGAAAAACCCCAAGCGTGTTGGCTCCCCTTTGAATTTCACCTCCAACGGTGGACGTCTTGGAATGGATCGGTGCCTCCATTGTGGGTGGTAGTGTCTTCCGTCCAGATTTCCATCTGTGGTCCGGTAGGGGGTGGGAGCTCCTGGATCAGTAAATGTCCCTGGGGTTGCAGGTTCCACGTCCCCCTCGGTGTCTCTCCCTTTGTGGCTCCAGGAACTGGGGCGGGCGTAGGGCTCAGGAATCTCCTCTCCTAGGGAGCTGAGAGTTCTCTTCATCAGGTCAATAGCTCTCTCTAGGATCCAGTCTGAGTACGGCATACAGCTTCCTCCCTCTTCACTTGCGTGCAGGGATTTCTCCATCTCCTGCTTCCATTCTGGTTGCTTGGTCCCCCGTCTCAGGGTCACTTTTCTTGATTCCTTTCCCCACTCGCTTTTCTTTCCAAAGCCCATCGACCAGCTAGGCTTGTGGTCCTGTGTCTCCACCACTTCTTCTTCTGAGAAATCTGGCCTCTCGGATCCCAACATCTGGCAAGGTTCCAACTGGGTCAGCGGCTCTCTTTCCAGGGAGTTTTCTCCCTCTCTTGCTTCGTTGTCTGACATGGTAAATTTTTGCAAAATCCCCCGGCAAGGGTCTACCTTCCAGGTGGATTAATTTTGCAAGTCCTGTCTAATGTAAGGACCCACCCCACTTTGCATCTTAAGAAGACAGAACTCTTGGAATAGCTCTTCCAACAGGAATCCTTTATTAAGAGAAAATGGTTGCAGGCATGCTAGACAGGACTTGGGGTTCAAGCTCTCCCATTCAAGGTTTTAAGGGGTTCCCCAGTAGTCCCACCCAATCAACCCCCTTCCAGTGATAGTTTCAAGTATCACAATTCCATCCCCTTTCTTCTTCCGTCTGGATTGAGACTTCAGATAACTACATGAAAGGCAATTACTCTTCTTTGATATGTTAAAGCTTAGAGGCCACAATAAACACACATTCAGTCCTTTGAAGTGTGCTGAAGGAAGTGAGGGCCATAAAGCCCCTTTGCTCTCCCCCTTTTCTCCCTCTTATGGCAGAATCCAGAGAAGGCAGAATTGGGAGTTTCTATGTTTGATAATTAAAGATGAAATATAATTGGATTCTGACACATGGTTTGTTAAGGCAATGTCACATGACCACAACATACAACCTACCACTGAGTTTTGATGTTGGAAGCTGACTCTGAAGGTTGCAAATGGCAACCACATGTCTGTAGGATGCTGCAACCATTGCAATTCAGGTTGCAAAGTGCCTGAATTGTAATCACGTGACCATGTGGATGCTGCAACTGCTGTTATTTCAAGGACCGATTGCAAATTTATTTTTTCAGCACTATCATAAGTCCAAATACACGCTGAAGGGGCAGTTGGTAAACAAGGACTATCCAATAATAATCCCCTGCCCTCTAAAGTATTAATTAGTGAATCTTATCCAGATGTAAAAAAAAAAGCAAGATTAAAGTTTAAGTTAATGAAAAACCGAACCTTACAATATTTAACAAACAGCCCCTACACACTACTAGGAAGACTTAGTGTCTTTAAATAGAGGTAAATTGCAAAACAAACTTGTGGAGTCCTTAGTGCTCTCTCAGCTTGATTGTTTGCTCAGGTGTGCACTGAAGATATTACTTAGTTGAGGTAACAAAACATCCAAACTCAGAGAGCACCAAGAACTCCATATATTCTCTTCTATTGGAATTTTTTTTGGCTAGGAAACATGACACTTCTGTGCAGAGATAAAGCAGCTGTTCAATTCCAATTAATTAGGCCTGCACATATCATTAGGATATGTGACATGCTAGTTGCATGTCTTACTGCAGATATCGATAAAACTGAGTATTGATGCATTCCAACTCTGTGATCAAATAACTTTCAGCATTGCAGCTTTCGAAGCAATGATTGAACCATTCAGACTTCATGAAGATGATAAAGAGCAAGATGTTGCAGACAAAATGAAGGAAGATGAACCTTGGAGAATCACAGATAACGAAATTGAGCTATATAAAACCAAGGTATATAGCATTCTTTCCCATATGTACAAATATTTGGAACTTTATATCACTATTCCAAATTAATTTTAAAATGGTTATTAGCCTTTCAGACATCAGTAATGCTTTCATTTTTTTACAGAGTTACCGTCAGATTAGATTAAATGAATTACTGAAAGAACATTCAAGCACAGCTAATCTAATCGTTATGTAAGTATTTCTTTCTGTAATTCTTGGCATCCTTTCCGGAAAATATTTGAAATAACAAATAACAAATCAGTCAAATGTTCTACAGATAATCTTTGTTTAATGTCCATCCATTCAATAACTATTCAAAATTACAACATGGTGAAAAAAATGGACTTGTTACTGATTCTTGAAGTTGTAAGTTACTGCTTACTAGCAATATTTATAGATCTCCTCAAACCCCAATAATTCTGTAGAAAGTTGAGATCCTCACATCCTCACTTAACTATGGCAACAAAATTGTTGTGATTGCCATCACTAAGCAAATGTCATGTGAAGTTATGTTTTATGACCATCTCACTTAGTGATGGAAATTCTGGTCCCATTGCCATTGTTAACCGAGGACTACCTGTATGCTTAAAAAGAATACTTAAAAAGAAGCTGTATTCTCAAGAAGTCTGATTCAATTTAGTGACCTATTGGAGAGAATTTATATATCATGCATGGTGGGTCTTTAATTCCTAGAATTTAGTAAGTCTGCAACTTTCAGTTTTGTATTTTCTAAATAAAATTAATGTTAGAATTTTTAGTAACATTAATACAATGTATTTTTTTTTCATGAAAAAGTAGCTGGGTTCTTGTTTTCAGAAATCTATTTCTTAAAATGAATTCTGATCCTGCACAAGTCAGAATCCTGCTTTTTTCTATAGGCAATTCACTTATTACAATAATTCAAGAACAAGTATTTCATTTTTAAATATTTTCTGTGAATAAAAACTTGTATGCTCAAAAGTAAATGTAGATTAGCGACCTGAGTTTTGAGTATATTGTTAAAAAATGAAAAAGGCAAAGACATACAATCTCAGATTGGAAAGTGGAATTATTTTTTCAGAAAAGTTGAAATTTGACAATTCATAAAAATGGATCCTGATTACTAGAAAATTTGAAAATGGTATTTTCACAAATAATAGTCAATTTGTGAAGTAAATGATAAGTATCACAGTAATAACCAAGTTAGAATAAAATCAAGCAGTAAAACACATTTCCTCTGACATATAGGAACATAAGTCTGAAAACGTTATCCCGATGATACTTGTACATTGTCACTAAGGTTGAATTTGAAATGTCATTGAAAGCTTGTACAGTGTCTGGAGAGACTAAGTGGGAAGAAACAAGCTTAGATTGCATTCTACCTAGATTACCTAGATTACAGTTCACTATTAGTTAACAAATATCAGCTTTTATATTTATATTTTATATGATATTTATTCTTGACATGGTTGGGTTTCCCCAGAAAGATGGTTTGTTATTTGGGCATCTTTCAGAGTTGCTCTGTGCAAGCAGCAAATAGAAGCACTGGACGGGAGGACATTCTCCCACTTCCATTGGTGTATCAGTTTTGATCTAATCTTGATCACTCCTGGAGTGGACTACTTTAGATGCTTTCTAAGATGACTCAGGCTGCATCTAGCGCAAACATGATAACTAGCTCATTGGTAAGACATCATTGTAGAATAATGCCAATTATGTGGTTGTTGCCCTGGTTGGCAGTAGGCTTCTGGGACCAATTCATTTCCTTTGAAGCCAATGTTGCACAGGATACATGATCAGAGACTTTCCTAGCTTCAATCTGCCCATCCTAGAGATGCCTGCTGTGAGTCCTTCCCCATCCCCCATTCTCATGAAGTTCCTATGGAACAGACTTCCTGTGGGAATCTTCATTTTTATACCAGTGCTATTGTCTCTGTTCTTGCTTTCTTTTAAAAAACAAAATTTGTGCGGTTTGAAGAGATCTATAAATATTGCTAGTAAGCAGTAAATAATTAAAATAACCTTGGTCAAGGTAAGCTTCGATGCATAAGAATTGAGTGATAATGGAAAGAATATAGTATGGTGGATTGCAGTAAAATTAATCATTGGAGGAATTCTTGCTTGAATAGAGCTCTTGCTGCTAAATAACTTGGTGGGTGAGTAGTAGAGGTAATAAATCAAATAAAAATTCAAAAACTGCTTTCAGCAGAATTGTTTGTCAATACTACTCAAATACTTTGGATAGCAGGTCAGTTTAAATTAGATTACATAATGCAATTTTAATCCTGTCTATTCGTGAATAAAACTTTTTCCTCTCTGTTTTTTATAGGAGTTTACCAGTTGCACGAAAAAGTGCTGTATCGAGTGCATTGTACATGGCCTGGATAGAAGCTCTTTCAAAAGACCTACCACCCATTCTCCTTGTCCGTGGAAATCATCAAAGTGTTCTTACCTTCTATTCATAAACTCTCTTGTGCAAAAATGCAACGGGGAAGAAATGGTACTTCAGTGCCTAGAGGAAAGGGTCTGGGACGTACGATTAAAATGTTAACCTCACACAGAGGCAGAAAGTGATAACTTTCTCACTATTCCCCTGACTCAAAAGCACATAAGGAAAGTCACTATACTCCTAAATTGTGGAAGTTCCATTTTTGTCTAATTCTTCTGTAAGTTAATCTTGCTAAATGGGGATTCCTTAGTAAAGAATAAACAGGTTTTTCTTTGCTACTTGAAAGGCAGCAATAAAAGTGTTTATTTTTGATCAATGAAAGGGTTATAGATTTATAAAAACATTTTAGCCTTGAGGTGCCTTCTGAAGTTAACCAAATTTCATCCATATATTGTTTTGTAAATTTATGAAGTCAGTCTGCCATTGGTTAAAACTTTAGATCAAACTTCCTCTAGTTTCTAGACTCTTCCATCTTACAATAATAAAGATGCTGCATTCTGGTCTTCCATGAAGGTATTAGTTTGGATTGTTATATGTTTCTTATTGTTTGGAATGGGGAGTTGTGTGTCCGGTCTGTGTATGTGTCTGTTTAAGAAACTGGTTAGTCCTAAAAGAGGTAAGTGGGATGACTTGGTTATGATAAAAGTCAAATTCATGCAGTTAGCATTGAGGACTTTGTAAAGTTTAATTTTTACTACTGAAAGATGTACTAATTGGGAGCGACTAACGTTTTCCAGTTCCATCCCGTCCTTCGTGTTCCTTGGACTCCTATGATGGAAGATTAACCCGACAGATTTTATTGTGCAGTTCTGTTATCAAAGGATGCTTTTGTCACAGGTTGCCATCAGTGTTGGGGCTGATTCAGTGTGTGCCCTTTTAGGGGGACCATATCGATAAAAAGTAGTTCTGTGGGACCAGGTTTTGTCCAAGGCATCCAAGGACAGTTTATTTAAAATCTGCTAAAACTCTTGCTAAACACTCAGGTTTGGTTCTCTTGAGCTTGATTTTTAATTTGATAAGGTGGTGTATTCAAGAATTACCCATTTGTGTGCCCTCTGTTTCTGGAAGGGTATATATTTCAATTGCTTTATATTTTTTTATTCTATAAACTGCTTCCTGAAGAAACTCTTGAGGCTTTATCCGATACTTGGTAATAACATTTATACCTGTTACCTGTTAGTTGCCTAAAAATATGTTTCAACTTTTGACTTTAATACAGAGCGCCATGTTAGATCAAAAATCTATAATTTCAGAGTTTCTAAGTGAACACATAGCATATAAAAACACAACTTTCTTGCTAAGTGAAATCAAAATCTATGAACAAATTGTTTCAGGAGATCTGGTTAATGGGACAACGGGATTCTTGCATATTGTAATTACTTTCAATAACCTACTGCTCTAATGCTGATTGTTTTGTTTTTTCCAGAAGTGCAATACACGTTGGCTGCCAGATAGAGTAATTCATTGTCAGGATATATTTTTCAAAGGAAATTGGAAGTTTATAATAAAATAGTTTATTGTTACTTTTTTTAAAAAAAATCACATTGGAAATAGAGTGTTGATTACTACCAGATTGGTTGATTGTTGCTGTGATGAAAGAAGATGTAAAATTACTCAGTGAGATTGAATTTTCTTTCCTTTCTCTTGTTAAGTGCAGACTTGGAGTAGGATAGAAAACAGCATCACTCATCTGGAAGAAATGCACTTGGACAGTTAGCAGTTTGGCCCATCCAGGGCAGCCATTATTTGTGATGTGCAAAAGAAAGGAATTGCATTTCTGTCAGTGTGTGGTGGCTGAAATAATTATTTTAACATTTGGATCTATTGATGGATACCAAATGTAGTCTGTGACTTAAAAGTTCTTTATCCAACGATAATTTCCAATATTAGAAATGCAAAATGCCAAATCCTGATTATAACATTATTAAAACTCTCTAGGTAATATATACTATTAACTTGTTAGCAAATTTAGCCATTCCAGTTTCTATTTACTATAAATTTAAATTTCTTTTGGGCGCTTTTTAAAATTTTCAATCAGTAATAACTTGAAATAGTTTTCCATCGACACTCAGCAATATCATTTTTATAAATTTATTTTGTGAAATTCGGAAGTGTTTAGGAAATAGTTGAAGAAATTGATTATTTATTGTTTCATTATGTTTGTCTTTCCTTTTTACACAATTATTTTATATGCTATTTTGTTTATTTAAAAATGAACTACAGTCTTAATTTAAAGCTTGAGCTTTGGTTGGTACTATCCACTGTCCAAAAATGTTATGTCATATTTTGATAATGTATTGTAACTGTTATCTACAGTTATGACTTTTCTAATGTTTTAACGAAGTTGAGTATTGCAGCTACTATACTGTACTGAAGAAGGATCACTGCAATAAATGGAAGTGAATTAAATAGTTTGGTCTAAATCATTTTATTTTTATTGACAGTGTTTCCCCTGCATCCCCCCACCCCCATTCCAGTGGAGTTCTGACCATTTTCCTTCCATATCATGTTTTGGCTCTTGCAGGTTTAATATTTCAAGCACTCTTTCTGTTGTCTCCAGATAAGAGAACTTACAAGAGAGATAAGATAAGAAATCCGGCAGAGTTGATCCACTTCCTTCTCCAGGAGAATCTGCCTAAACAGCAACTTGCTTTGAACTGTCTGCACACAGGCCAAATATGAATTACTTGGCAGGATCAGCTTAGCCTAGCAGTCTTGGTTGTCAGAGATAAGAAAAATGCATACTTTTTTCTTGTTTATCTGTGAATGAACTCATTCTTAAGTTTGAAACTTATATATTTAAGTTCAGAAACATCTAATTCCATCCAAAGATTATTGTCCCATTGTTCCCAGTCACCCACCTATCCATCCTGGCCACAGATGGTGTCTTCTCTCCCTCTTCCAGGCTGTGTCCTGCCCCTCCCCCCTTCTGCAAAACTTCAGCAGCAAAACCCTCATTTATCTCAGACCTTACAGCTGTAATGTTTCCCCCGAAATATTTCCTTGGCTTGGCATTTGCTCTTCTATCAGTGTTGCTAGCACTTATCCTTAAGAAAAGAGCCAGAAGGAGCCAAGTTATTTACAAGACTGGGGGGAAAAAGCATCAATTTTGGCTTAGTTGAATTATGCTAGGTTTATCAGAAATGTGGCAAGCTCACTAATTGGGAATACTTTTCAAATGATCCTGGAGGAGCTCATGACCAAGTGGAATTGAATAGGCTATCTGTCTTGGTTCTTAAATGTACCCAAAAAAAAAAAAAATTTACATTGCCTCTAGTGAGAAAATAATTTATGCATATAATTTCTCTTTGATAGACCTGTCCATGATTTTATCTAAACATTCCAGTCATTGCTGCAATTTCATAAACTAAATAGAATATAATGTTCCATATTCCAGTGTATATATTGAATATTCTTTTTTTTCCACAGATTTTCTCCTGCATAAAAATGTGTGCATTGCTATAAGATGCCACGGAATTCTTCATTGTTCCTGCATAGATCTTTCCAAATCTTATCCCACTCAGTATCGGTACCTTAAATATGAAGAATCAGCTATCTTTGGTATTGGCTGTCTGCATTTGAACACCATTCCAGGAACTCTATTCAGGCTGTCCCTGCTTCAAAATGTCATCTGTGGTGGCAGCTCAGTTGCAAACAAGGTTATTCTCATCTGCGTTGTCAATACAGGCAAACCCAGTATAACATCCAGAAATTGCTCAAAGCACTTTTTAGGGAGGGGGGGAAGGGGAGTAGTTTTAATGATACATGGGTTCTGCCATCTGTGCTGTTTTGTAACATCAGGATGGATGAGTGTCAATTGTTAACGATTCAACATAACTATCCACACACAAAAATGGGAATAAGAAGCACTTGAGGCTTCTAGAGCCATCACAATTGCTTTATTTACAAACCTATAAAGAAGCACATTTTTCAGCAAGCAGCCAGTCCCAGGAAAATATTTTTTTCCAGCCATTGCTGCACTTGCATTCTTCAATTTTATTTAATTGCATTTAAAAATCCTTTTTTCCTGACCTCGTTTGGGGCTCTACTATTCTTCAATTGGAGAGCCACGGTCCTCTGAGATAAAGCTGGATAGTTATCCTGGCTTGTCTTTGATACCAGTGGGTGTTGTATTGCAACACCCCCTTCTTCATCTTCATGTTCAGCTTCACTGAGCTGGAACTGCTGTTTAATTATGCAGATCCTATAAAATTTTAATGCTTTTTAAAAATTCAACTGATCTATAATCATGCTTTATTTTATTGCAATACTTCTTGTGAAAATGAAAGTTGGGGTTGCTTTACATTCATTTTTTGTATTCAGATTTTTTTTCTTTGTGAGACTGTTAATGAAAGACAAAATTATCTCTGCTTTTCCCCATTAATTGTCATCATCTTCAGCTGACGTACTTCACAGTTTTACAGAAACTGTAAAGAATTCTGCATTTAATTTGCCCCAGAAGGAGTTCAGGAAAATACTCCAATGATTCACAAATCTATATAGAATTACGAATAAGTGCCTTTTTAGCTCTAGTCTGGTTAGTGTTTCGTTTAACAGGTTTCAAGATAGATATTTTTCTGGTCATGAGCTTGAATCTAAAATTGCAAATCCTCCTATCCAAATATTAAGGTGGGCCACAGGGAAAATAAGCTGCTATTTTATTTTTTCACCTGCTTAGCAACATTGGCTCTAACTACCTGCATCTTGTTAGAGGCTGAAGCTTTCTCTGTGGACTTGTGAGCATTCCTGAGGGTGAGAATCTTACTGTGAGCACCAATTAGCAAGGCAGGTTTTAAATTGTAACAGAAAATGCATTGTAAGATAGGCAACTGAACACTGAGCTAACTAGGTTCCATGCTCCATGTGATTGAGAAGAGGTAGGAAGAAATAACCTCATATTAGCTATCTCCTATAGCAGGCAGATAGCCAGTTTGAACTAGTGGTTAAAGCATCAAGCTAGAAACCAGGACACACTGAAGTCTAGTCCCACCTTAGGCATGAAAGCCAGCTAGGTGACTTTGGGACAGTCATTCTCTTTCAGCCCAACTCAAGGTTGTTATTGTGAGGAAAATAGGAGGAAGGCATGTTGGATATCTTGAGTTATTTATAAAAAATAAAGGCAAGATTTTTTAAAAAAGAATTTATTCTGTTTGTATACTTTGTCTGATTCCCTATGTCTTGTGGCAATAGATCCTGAAAATACTGAAGAGTCATGCCATTGGAGTTTGAATGTTCAACAGATACTGGCATTTTCATTTCCCAGACTCTGCCTATGACCCCAAATGACAGCATTCACAGCAGCCTGGAGATTTAGAAGGTCATCTGCTGAGTAGTATCCCTAGAAATCACTGCAGGGCTGGTCTGTTCATCCAAAATGGAAACACTTGTGCTTGACCATTTTCCCTGGGGAGGGGGGAGGTTGTATGTGAGTAATGGTGTTACAGATTTGGCTGGATAACCACACTATGGGTACCAAAGGGAGTCAACCATGCTAGTCCTCCCCTAGTAGCTTGCCTTAGAATAAGGAAGGAGAGATAGTAATAATGGCTGAACTCCAATGTCCTGGTTCAAACCTAGACTTCTTTTTGGAAAAAGCTAGGCTTATATTGGACTGGAATATTAGGCTTCCATTGCATTTACTTTCCTCCAGGAAAAAGGAGCAGGTATACTAATTTTGTTTGTCTTGTTTTGTTATGAATATGCAAATATTGTTTTATTGTCGGTGTTTTGGTTTTTTTTGCAGAATTAGAAAATTATTCAAAAAAAATATTTCTGAAGAATGATAGGAGAAGTCCTTTTTATCTCCCTCCAATTTGTTTTCCCTTCCAGCAAGGTTGCTAGAAGCATCTCTCCACTGCCCTCTCCATTCCCATCTATGCAGTTTAGCAGTTTGAACTGAACCAGATAGTATGTCAAGTGGGAAACAAATTGAGAACTGTCATATGGAAGTTGTCAAACGCCATCTTGTGGTCAGAGAAAAATTCTACAAATGCTGCTTAATTTGATTTTAATATCAAACTATAGACACTGACCCAAAATGACTGCTGTGGCTACCACATTTTGTACCCTCCATGCACTGAATAAAACCTCAATATATCAATGCAATGAACCTCTGTTGGTTCAATGCCTAGACTTTTGTATTATAGCTTGCGTAAGGTTTTCAGCAAAGTCATCAAATTGAAATTATTCCTTTAGTTCCAGCACTACCTATACAATATTCAGGAACATTTTGTTAATTCTAATTCTATAGAGCAGGTAAGAATGACTTTTATGGTGTTTTTAGCAAAATATACATTGAAATATAGATATTTAAGGTGTGACAATTTCCCCCAAAGACAACTTTTCTTCTAGAATCTCTTTCTGAACCCATATGAACATTTAACAAACCAAAAGCTACAATTGAACTAAAATTATCAATGTATACAAATTCAGGCTGAAAAAGATCTGAGGTCATATTAGAGGAGTTTCTGCCAGTGTCTTTAGATTAAGCACTGGGGAGAAGGATCATTGAACTAATATTAATAAATGTTTAATATTTAATCAAAATAAAGCAATCATTCTCTCAAAACAACTTTAAATATTATTTGTAGCGTAGATAACTTTGCACTGGTCATTCCACCTTCTCCAGCATTTGCTGAGACAATGCTGATGATTCTTTGCCCTTAAATTCCAAAGCCAGCATTTTTTCAATCTTGTGCTGCGTTCAAAAGCAAAGGAGGCAGACATTTAAATAAAGGTAGGGCCAAGTGCAGCCAACTATTTTAACAGTCTTTGAAGAAGGGAAGAATGAAGTAGAACCTGATTCTGTGCATTACCAGGTACAATTTGAAAACTGAACTGAATGTAAGGAATGCACCTCCACATAGATTGGCCTACATTTCCCATAATTCTTAGCCACCGTGATAATTTGCCAGGTTAGCTGGGAAAAATGGGCCTGGAAGTGCTGCAGATACTGATAACTACAATCAATTTGCTACTCTTTCACATGCAAAGGCACACATTCAGGCTTACTCAGTTCAATAAGGACAGGTGTAAGAGTTCCACCATAAGTGCACAACAAGTGTGGTTGAAATCTGGGTTTAATTCTTACAATCATTCTCACTACTTTTCCATTTACTTGGCATGTAGCAGGTGGTCTGAACCCTGCCAGCTGGGCTCTACAAAGTCCAATGTCATTTGCCAGAGTAGCTGCACTAAAAGGGGAACCATCTTTTTAACATGTAGCTAACATGCCATATGGAGGAAAGGAGAAAGAAGAGTGAAACTAAATTTTCCTCCATATTAGAGTGTTCCTTGCAATTGGGCCCCAATCAGAAGAGTTGATTGGGGGAGTAGAAGAAAGTTCAAGGATTAAAAGATTATCATTTGCTTTGTCTCATTCTGATTTCTGGAAAAGACTAGTGAACCAG